AGCAAATAAAAAAAATCGGTTATTTTGCTCCACACTTCACCTACCAGTTATATTTCATTCTAAATAGAGGTTGAATTACCTTCTTGGGAATAATTGATAATTCGCCTTTCTTAGTTTTACCCGGTGAACCTTCAATTCCGATGATGTCGCCTCTCTTAATTTTATTAGTGTCCGCAGCGTATTCATCTTCGTTGACATAACCACGAGCATTGGCCATCACTTGAATTTTGACGCCTTCGCCGCGCAAATCGTAGAAAATCAATTTTGCACCAGAATTTCGAATGGAGTGTATACGACCAGCGACACTCACTGTGACATCCAACGTTACACCATCCGAGATAACATTATTGTATTGTTCAATGAAATTTTCCAACGAAAGAGTAACATTGAATTTATGTGGATAGGGATGTGTGTCGGCGTTTTGCTTAAATTTTTCAACTTCAGCCTTTCTCGTTTCGAAGAATACCTTCCCCAATGATATTGGATCGTCTTCATTTTTAATTTTGGCAGTGTTTTCCGTTTGTTTACTTCGAGCGTCTTTCCTGTTTAACAAGTGTGAAATATTCAAAATGAAAAGACTGTAAGGATTTGTTTTGATCGAAAAACCTAACCTCGAATTCTTATTGCTGTAAATAACGTTTGGTACACCGATACAATTCACCAGAGAATAGTGGAAGAATCTTTTCTCAGGCACCCTTTTTAAAACGCTATAAAAACATTTCTGCGATCTACTTAACATTTGTAATATAATAAATAAATAGACTGAAATATATGAACAAAACGCCGCAGCTATGTATGTGAATTCTTTTCAACTGTCTCACTATGTTTATGACAGGTGTGACAGTTCCAATGTCAATGTATCTGATACAACAAGAGAGCGCTAGGTTCAGAATTCAACATATTTATTCAAAATTGAATAGAGTCACTCACTCAATGAAAGATGTTTTTTTAAAGTATCGAATTTATTCAATAGCATATTTCAGAAGAACCAAGTTAAACAGTGATGAGGGGTATTGAAACATTTTTAAATTTCCTTCTAGAGGATAGTAGAATCGGTTTGGCGAACCGAAATGGATACTGAAATTGTAAATAAATAGTCACTTGGTGTAGCGGCAGCTTAAAGCTGAAGAGAATTTATTTTTGTGCAACGCTTTCATCGGTGACCGGATGTGGTTGATTATCCTCTGGCTTCATAGCAGGGAACAAAAGTACTTCCTTGATGTTGTTTGAATCGGTTAAGAACATAGTCAATCGATCGATTCCCATGCCCCATCCTCCAGTTGGTGGCAGTCCATATTCAAGTGATGTGCAGAAGTTTTCGTCGACTAATTGAGCTTCATCGTCGCCAGCTTTCTTGTCGGCGGCTTGTTGTGCGAAGCGTTCACGTTGAACGGCCGGATCATTCAATTCGGTATATGCATTGCAAACTTCCTTCTTCATAACGAACAATTCGAATCGTTCCGTTAAGCCTGGAACACTTCGGTGATATTTGGCCAATGGGCTCATGATTTGAGGATGATCGCAAATGAATGTTGGATTGATGCATTGTTCCTCCAGGAATTCACCCACCAATTTATCAAGCAAACGAGCAGTTGTACGTGGTGGAGGACATTCAATATTGTGTTTAACGCACAAATCACTGATGAACTTGTTGCTTGCTTCGGTGTTAAACTCTTGTGG